AGTAAAGTATATCTCTGCAACTTTGACCCAGAGATTTGCAGTGACCCATAACAAAATGTGTAGCGAGCGCGCCCGATAGAAAGCCAGAGAGTATAAGCTTCTGGTGCCGTATTACACCATCCACCTTCAATAAAATTGCTCTGTCACAGTAAAAAAACTACTCCACATAAGAGGAACGGTTTGCAGACAGTCAGAAGTGAATCGTACAAATACGTCTTGATTGAAGTGCATCAGCTTATTGTCACATCGGGGACTCTAAGTTTTCACATTTGAGCACTAATATTGGGAGCCATACAGAGTTTTAACTAATCTACAACTTCAGATACACAGTGGTAATGTAAATTGAAATATAAATGTTAACTTTATATAAATGTCAACGCCAATATTATTAAGTCAGCATCTCTAAAAGTTCAGATTATTCCAATTATTTTAAATATTTAGGAGCTGAAGTTTTGCTTGTTTCTTCCAGCTGTTTGTGGGATAGATTACTTTGATTCTGTTAAAGACCTTTAATACAGAAGCAGGATTGATATGTGGTTGCTGCGCGCTTTTACACAAATACAGCTGTTGTAACGCCATTGATAACTGATTACTTAAATATTTATTACTTATCCCGGACACAGAGACGGGATCAACTATTTCCTGTTCTCAACTCTTCAGGCAGATGAGCTGCCACGCACAGATTCCAAGTTTATTAGCTGCAAACAAATAACTTCCAACACAGACCACCTGAGCTCCATCAGAGCTGTTGGAATTAAAAAAGTAAAAGTCCTGTTACCCGGGAAAGCCCAAGATGTTTTACTGTCTTGTCATGACTTTTCACTTTGGCTGCTTAAGACCAAAGTCTCAGTGTTTTTGCAGTGGTAACATTTTTTTTATTTTCACAGAATTTCTAAAAGAACCACATAGATAATCCACAGCATTATCCATTTGATAGATTTTGCACTTGAGAAGCATTCCATATGAAACTGCCCACAGTAAGTCCTGCTGAACTCAATCTTTCCTTCTTTCTTTCTCGCAGGGCACATGTGTTTCATATAGGTCTCTTAATTACATTTTTCCTGCTAAAACAATGGTTCTGCTCGCTTTTGGCTGCGAGTGAGGCTGTGGGCAGTTGAGCGTAGAGACTGAGAGGGATGCTCGGCGTCTGCTGGTCTGAACAAATGTTCAGCCCGAAGGACGACTTATTTCGCCGTGTCACCGGACTGTTCGCTTCTCTCCATACTGGCTCAAAAACACACGGACAAACACCTTCTCTCCCTCTGCGCTGAGGTGTACGGCCGCGAACCAGTAAAGCAGCATTCATGCCGGTTAACACACACCGCGCACCGATGTCCTCTGCAAGCCAAAAGTCAGTCATTTGCAGAAAGCCAATAAAAGTGACAGCAGTGTTTCTGTAAAATATGAAAGGTTAGCAGTAATGCAGAAAGGGCCGCTGCCAACAGCTGCCAAAAGCCATCAACCAATCATGTGAAATCAGCTGGAAATATGGAAATGTCATCAGCCAACAGTGTAGAAATAAGGCAGCGGTTGGTCATAGTAGAGAAACACTAACAGAAAGCTACTCACTGTATGCTAATGTCACAATTTATGTATTGTGTCTCCCTTCCAGGCTGAAACAGGTTGCACTCAGGCTCGAACCTTAAATTAATTTTCATAATTGGATGTGATTCAGTATATACTTATTATTAAAAAGCTGTTTTCTTACTTGCTCTGTATTCCATCATTTCTCTTTCAAAGGCTGCATGTGCGGCTTTTGTTTTCCTGTGAACAAGATTGTGTCTGTAGTATTCTGATTGAGTTTGTCATATTACAGCAAGTGTGACTGGATGAATGGCGTGTGCATGCGAGTTGCAGTGCAGGTGTGTGTGTGTGTGTGTGGGTTTGCCCATGGATGTGCTTGCACAACTGTGTCTATATCCTATCTTGTGTGTGTGTGAGCAAAAATGAGCAAGCAGTATTTTCTTGGCTGCACAGTGAGACGCACACTACAATTTCATCTGCTTCGTCGTGCCATTCATCAGTTGACAAATCCTTTCAATATAGTCTACCTGGCCTCGCTCGCTCATCATTTTAAAGGAATTACACTGTCTGGGGAGAGGAGGAGATTAGAGAACGAGGTGAGAGGAAGTAACATGAAAAGAGGTGGGAAGGAGAACAGGCTGGATAAGATAGGAATCTTTCCAATATCATCTGCCCAGTTGAAGCTATTCCCTATCAGAGGGTAGTGACAGAGAGGGATTTAAAGAGAGCACAGGCGTGGGGTCATGGGTGAACGAAATGCAAGCCATATAGAGATGAGGGTCATTTACACGGGATCCAGCTATCCTTTGGTTGAGTGACTCCAAAAAAAAAGCAATCTGGCCTTTAAATTCAAGCAAATACAGTCAGGTGAGAGTATGTACTGTACATCACTGGAAACTATGCCGCTGCTGTTTAAGAGGGAAGATAAATGTACAGCTATGAAGCCCAGAAGGCTCACAGTATAGCGCTCAACAGTTTTAAATACGTTTACATAAAAGGGCTCGCATGGAGTCTGTGATCCCTTTATTAATACACCTGAACAATCTAATGTGGTCCATTGTTAAACATAAGTGCTGCGCTGGAGTAGCGTGACATAATATGAATCAGACAGTAAATGTCATGGCAGGCACTTAGCTGTAGGTTTTATAACATGTAGGCAGCTCGTCAGGAAGACAACAACCCCTTCATTGAGAACACAACATGCAGCTAAGAAGCGCTTTTACATGGAGACAAGTCTGTTCATTAAAGATAGTAAAGAAGCTGTCTTTGTGGTTTGATTAAATCCCTAAAATTTGAATCCTTCGCTTTTCAAGTTAGTTTTCCAACTTCAACAGGGCACACAATGGGCCTCCCACCAGCTCGTCAGCCCTGCTGCATCTAACTGGCATAATTCGGTTTCTGCATGCTCAGTAATAAATCTTTTATGACCCGCTCACCTTTGCATTTGAATCAGGCGCCTATGGCTATTGCTTCCTAAAACTATTGAATTAATTTCTGTCTTTATTTAAAATGCTGTTTCAACACTTGACTTAGTCAAAGCTTTAATGCTGCCCTCATCGCTCTTGCTCAGTTCGTGCAAAGGCAAGAAGAACAAGAGAGGAAGGAAGGAAGGACAGGAGTGGCGGGCAGGTAGGAATGCTTAAAATTAGCTGACTGCACTTCTTCAAAAGGCTATCATACGGTATGAGGATGGACAGAAATGCAAAGGAGGAGTGAGTAGGAAAGACAGGGAAGAAGAAGGAAGGAAAATGAGGAAATGAGTGAATGAATGAACAGAGAGAATAAGGACAGAGTCAGGGCAGACACAAACAACAGAGGAAATGGAAGAGGAAGTCATTATGTATACAAGGATGTGGGAGCTCTCACGCCGAGAGTTACAAGTAAATACATCAGTAAAGCCAGCAGGATACTATCAGATACATTGTGAAGTATGTATGTAATTTTTTATCTAATTGTACAATGTGATGATATTCAGAAATGTAAAAAAAAACAAAACAAAGGGCCTCTTGTGATTTGTGCAACACCATGCGCAGTACGAATGGATGAGAAGTCATCGCTTCTATTTCCAGCAAAATCCTCATCTCCAACTGTAGATGCTACACTGGGCAAGAATAAAAGTGGCTCAGAAGCAAACAGAAAGCAAAAACAGGGAACTGGAGAGATGTGGAAATGACAGAGAGAGGGAAACAAAGGGTGAAGGCTACATTAGAGAGCTACACTGTATGAGGGTGTAACCTATTTGTTGTCAAACAGACTGAAAAATGACAGAGAGAGCCAACAGTGCCTGACAAATGGAGTGCCTTTTACACAGAACGAGACCGAAACCACGCAATGAGGAATAAAAGAAAAGGAAGGGTCAGGAGGAAGGCTGTGATGCTTTGTTGTTTTGATTCTATCGTCGTCTGTATGTGTACTCTTCGTGCACTTCCCTCTTGTATCGGTTGAGTACTGGCTACTCGGAATACTAGTTTAAAGTCTCTGCATGAGCGGAGCTGACTTTTCCTACAACTCTCTGCTCTACATACTTGCATCTGTGACCCCATGCATCACTGACTGTGGAAGAGTTAGAGTGCATCCGTGTGTGCAAATGCACACATGGCGCAGACAGCGGAATTCTCCAGACACATCACCACATGTTTTTAAGGTTAATTTTCTTCCTTGGCCCTATTCCTCTCTCCCCTACGTCCACCGCTCTCTCACTTTTCCTATCCTCTCTTCTCCCTACTCTATCGTTTTCTCATTTTTTTTTTTTTTACCCCCCCATATTGTTATTTTAATTTCACACGTGAGTGAACAAACTTAAATGATGACCAGCAAAACTATATCTGCAAACCCTGAGTGTGTGTTTGGGCACACATTGGTAATAAGTGGCAATTGTCCAAAAAACAGAGTAACTGCATAAAACAGAGGAGGCAGAAATAAATAAAAATCAGAGGAAAGAAAGAAAGAAAGAAAGAAAGAAAGAAAGAAAGAAAGAAAGAAAGAAAGAAAGAAAGAAAGAAAGAACTTTCTCTACCCATCCCTCTCTCTCTCTCTCTCTCTCTGCTTGGTCCTAGACAACGGTGGATGTCTCCAGGGTGATATTAACACACAATGACTGCTCCCAGCTGTCGAGTAACACACACACATACACACATTGTCCCAGCGCTGACCTGTTAGCAGGTGGTAATGGTACACAGTGCATTTTACTTGAGGCCAACAGCCTTACAGATGTTCTATCACTGATCTAATATAACCTCACAACACTGTAAAACAGATTCATCTTAACCCTGAAAATGGGTTTTGTTTTGTTTTTTTTTTCTGAAAAAGCATCTACTACTTGTAAAAAAGATTTTAAAAAAATATAGGAACAAGAAAAGAAAGGAGAGGAAGACAGGATATATAATATATAAAACATAATTCCACAAGACAGAAAGCATAAATAGATGACAGTAAATCAATATGCAAACATAGGATAAAAAATATTGAATTCATACCACTTGTCCATTCTGCGGGTTTTTGTGGGCGTAGGGAGGACCTCTGATGTGATTCCACATCTGACCAGATGTCATTGCAAAAACCACACACTGGTACAGACAGATGGATGACAGACAGAGAGATCAGCAAAGACAGAAGAGAAAGAGGACAAAATATCATTAGTGTGAGAAAATAACGAGGACTTCTATTGAGTCGGTATTATCCGTTTCATGAAACATGAAACTATAGTTTTGTTATAACAGGCAGAATATTCTACTAATGAGGTGAAATTGCACCACTCATCTTGTTTCCAGTGCAGTTTCACTTGACTTGTGTCCCCAGCTTGTGAAAGTGGATATTTTAGGCAGAGGATATATTTGACTTTTCCCAGTGGATTAAAAGGTAAAGGTAGTGTGTGTGTGAGTGCGAACGTGTGTGTGTGTCATACCAGTGCAGCCATGGCCCATCCAGTCTTGTTGTAAATGAATTCCAAGTTGTTCCTCCTTAGATACAGCAGACCTCCAACCAGAGACACTAACAGAGCCAAAGCAATAGTCCCTGAATAATTAGGAGGACGGAAGACACGGATCTGAGGAGATGGAAAGAGAGGGAGACACACAAGTGAATAACCCAGTATAACATAAACTATACAACATGGAGCATTTAGATTGTTCAGCTACTGTATACATGACTGAAGTATTAAATATTAGTCACAACACAAATTATATATTACTGTAATATAACTGTTTTAAACATTAGAATGAATAACTCCATCTGAATACAGTCTGAATGTATAATCTACTGACTGAGATATTGAGGAGAATCACACTTTGGTTCTTATACAGAGTCAAGACAAAAATTACAGCAACTGGATGAAACTTACATTTTGTATTTAGTATTTTCTTTAATATATATATTTTTTTTCTTTATTGTTAGAGAATCACATAAAGCAGGTTTAAAATGTCAAATCTGTTTGTAAATTTCAAATGAACAAATACCAACAATGAGTCTAATGTTAGACCTGTGGAATGATAGCTGAAAAAATGTACAATAGTATAATATGAATGTATCTTAATGTATAAACACAGAAAAAATATAGAGAAAAAAAAAGAGTCTCAAATTAACGTCTCTGAAAAATATAACCACTTTAAAAGAATGGATTAAACTATATGCTTAAAAAAACACCAGAGTGAAATGTCTTGTGGACATCTGAGTAAAAATCAGCACTTAAAATGTAAGATGACTACATTTGCTGGGTAAAAAGTAAACATATATCAGCTAGAATTCTTAGTTTTTGTGGTGTAGAAAGTTGTGTTAATCAAATTCTCCTAGCGACATGGCCTTTTAACTTCTGGTGAGTGACTACGATTGATTACAGCTGCTGACTCCTCTGAGCCAAATGTAAAAAGCCCATTTGATACACACATCAGACTCAGCCACAAACACCACAAAGCGACAGTCTGAGGAGCTCGGCACAGACCTAAAAAAGCAAATCATTGAAGTGAACAAGTCACGAAAGTCACTTGGAACCATTTCAAAGCAGCTAAGGATACCGAGGTCGGGTCCACTTCAAAAGTGGTAAGAAAAAAAATACAAAAAATGGTTAAATCAGGCTAGAATTAAGGTTTTTAACTGGACTTCCCAAAGTCCTGACTTAAACCCCATCAGGAACCTGTCAACTGTGATGAAGAAACAAGTCTGTGTCAGAAAGCAAACAAATCTAGCTGAACTGCAGCATTTTTGTGTGGTTAAAGATACAACCAGAAGCTTGTAAACGGCTATCAACAGTGGGGGGAAATATTAATTGACATTTAACCAAATACTAGCATGCTGCATGTATATTTCTGACCCAGTAGATTTTGTAGAAAGTATTTCCAGAAGACAAAAAAAGCAACATGCACAAATGTGTATTTACAAGACACGTGTTTCAATTAGGAATCAATAGAACCTCAAGTCTGCCGTGACATACTAGTACTTACACCTTAACAAGTGTATCTAAACTTTTGTTAACAACTATATGTGTGTGTTTGTGAGACCATAAAGCCAAATAGACTAAGGGATGTGTTTACCATTAACAGATGCAAGAGTAAATTGTTCCAACTAACAGAACACATATGTGTCACAACAGTGATTATGTCACCACTAAAAATCTGTTTACCATCTGCTACTATGAAGTGTTATTGGATCAAAACTTCAGTTTACAGCTCATTCATGCATAACTCAGGGACAAATCGAGAAAGAAAAGAGGAACTGCTCCAAAATTCTGCCACATGCTGTTTGATGTCTGCAGCCTCCCCTACGACCTGTGTGTGGATGAAGAGAAAAACATATATGCAGACGTGTATAGACATGCAAAGATCTCTTGGAAGAGATCTTCTAAATATACAAAGGATACACGCTATTGTTTTAATTAAAAATACAGTGAGCTCGAATAACGTCTGCGACAATTCATAAAAATCCAAGGTTGCGCCTTACAACCCGTCATGTCCTGGAAAACATGTTGTCTCTTATTTCATTGAGTCATTCAGAGTTTTGCCTTTGTAAAACTGGGTATTATGCAACAGAACAGGAATAATGAACGACTGAAGTGTTTGCATAATGGTCTAAGCCTATTTTCTCATCTGTCCCTGTTCTTTTTTTTCCAAGCACATAGGTACAAAATCAAACAACGCACTTTCATTTGTGTTTCTATATCCCGGAAATGTATTCAACTCCTTTTCCATGCATATCCGTCTTGTCTTTTTCCCTTTTCTGTTCTGTTCTTAATTCATGCGGTACAGTCACATTCAAGTGCCTGAAAGCTAGCACTTAGTGTAAGTGCTCCCCATCGCCTTACTCTGAAAGGCAGCCTTTTGAATTCAGATCAATCAACAGGATGTCAGCAGGAATCTTGGACTACGTCTGCTGGTATTTGCCTGACAGGTTCTTCAGGGACAAAGAAACCGCTGGCCGATAGTGAAAAGTGGCACTTGATCTCTCAGGTGTCAACAAGTTTAGTGGAGCCACAGAGGGGCAGAGAACACCCACGAGCCCCATGTGCTACCTTGTTCCTTAAAGCTCAAAAGGCCATGACATGGTGAACATTGCATCTCCTGTTAACAAAGACACCCTACACTTGTGTCAGACTCATGAGAAAGCAGCAAAAATAGATCTTTCAGGGCCAAAAGTTGGTGCCCACATTACCCATAATGAAACTCGACAGTCAACAGTTCAGTTGGAGCATCAAACCGGTTCGGCAAGTGCTGATTAATGCAGCTTCGAGCCACTGGTCTGAAGTGGGAAAGGGCAGCAGAAGTCTGGCAAGCTCACTTGATTGAAATTCCAGCCCCCATTTTTTTAATTTTTGAACTTGTCGTCTTCAGTCGGTACCAACACTGATGTAAGTTCATTAGAAACTCAAATATATATATATATATATACATACTTATGCTTTTCATTTGTGATAAAGCAAAGGAACCCACCACAGGATCTTTCTAATTGGATTTAGCAATAAATAAAATGTTATTCCAAAAAGCTACACTGCTGATAAATCCATCTGCTGGTCAGTTATCATCACAGAGGGAGCCAACATATGAAACACACTATAATTAATGTCCACATGACTTCATTGTTCCTCTTCTTGTGTGTTTATAAAACTCCTGTATGATCCCAAACCCGACGAGAACTACAAATGTAATGTAACTCACAATAAACTGGAATCCAATGGATCTACAATGACTCCAACCAAGACCAGTGGTTGCAAAGATGTGCATGCGTGAATATGAATACTTTGATTATGTAGCACCTGAACATCTGTGCGGTCTGCAATCCACTTGGCCAGCTGCTCTGAGGCGAAGCCAATCCTTTGCAGGTCAAACGTGTCGGCTCTCTTTGGCTTTCCCTTCGCTGGGAAATGCATGAAAGTTGGTGCACTATTCATGTTCAGCTACAGAGAGAGAGACAGAGAGAATGAGAAAGCCAAGTTAAAAACTTCTCAAATACACTGAATAATACATTATTGACATAATATCCAAATATCCATTACTGTACTTCTCTTCTACACATCAGATTATATATATATATCCATAGCACTGTTGTCTCGCAGCAAGAAGGTCGCCGGTTCGCGTCCCAGTGGAGGCACCGGGATCTTTCTGCGTGGAGTCTCCATGTTCTCCCCGTGCAGCGTGGGTTCTCTCCGGGTTCTCCAGCTTCCTCCCACAAGGTCCAAAAACATGTTGAGGTGATTCTAAATTGCCCGTAAGTGTGAATGTGAGTGTGCTTGGTAATTCGTCTCTCTGTGTAGCCCTGTGACAGACTGGTGACCTGTCCATGGTGTCCCCTGCCTTCACCCTGAGTCAGCTGGGATAGACTCCAGCCCCCCCAGTGAGGATTAGGTGGTGTATAGATACTGGATGGATGGATATATATCGATGTAAGAAGAAAAAAAAGAAACTAAAAGCCTCTCTTGTTTCGTTTTATTTCTGTTGATACATAAAACAACTGGTTCATTCTACACAATAAAATCGCCCCTTTAGTGTCTTTTTATGTGGAAAACCTACTTTCTGTTTGCCTGCATCGCCTTTAAATTTTCTGTATGATATGTAGAGCAGTATAGATTTCATTCTCATGCGATTAGGAACCTTTTTTCCAATATGTACAGATTTAGAAGTGAGTGATCACCAAAGCGGCACAAAAAAAATGTAATATCAGCCGATCGTTTCAATGAAGAGATCCTCGCTGCCAGAGTGCAAAACTGCAAACGCTCCCTCTGCTTCTACATCCCTAGCGTTTTTCACATGCCCAATAAAGTGCTGCTCTCAGCTGAAACCACATCTGAACTTCAATACTTTATTCAGCGAAGAGAGGCCACCCATACCCTGTCCACACCTCCCAGCTCCAACATGTGCAGATCTGAATCATAATAACAAGACACAATGGAAATCACAGAAAAGCATTCAAAAAAAAAAAAGAGGAGAATTTATTGGGTTTTATTATGGAGAGCAATTCAGCTGTCAAAATGAGCGACCAATTTTGACCGGCTTGACGGTTCCACAATGAAACTGCGCTCGGAAAATGTAAAAATCAGGGAGAGGACTCCGTATTGAGCAGGTGCTCCACAGGAACGATGACGAAAAACATCCCTCAAAGGTGATTTGACATAACAAACTACATCAGTGTACTGCAGTGTTCAAAGGCACTGCTCGGCTTTTCTGCCACTTTTATCAAGGGATAAAATCGAATAAAAGGACCAAAGAATAAATAAAAGGACTGAATAAAGGATGCATGTGCACATACAATATATACTGTATGCACTTGACACTGCTTACATGAATAAATATGAACACAAGCAGGAAAAACATCCACTTAAGCATACTGACACACATGATAATGTAACTCGCATCTGAGCTTCGACAGACAATCTTTACATGTCAAGAACGGATGTGGATAAAAAGCAAAGAGATCCGAGGGACTACGTTACAAGAAAGCCAGAGGGCGAGAAGTGACCATTAACGCATTAAATGGAAAAAGAAACAAGGGCTCGAAAAATAACAAGCACAAAAAGAAGAAGATGGGTAATATTAAAGATGTCAATTTAATAGTCTTCATTGGATTCATCTGAATCTAAATCAAGACAAAGAAAAAAAAAAACCCAGGCTATTTATAAATGAGCATAGCTATTTAAAGTACAGAGTTAAAGAGTATGATGAATAAAAAGAACAATATACCTACATAGCTATTTTGCATACATCTCTGTATTTTGGAGTGCAAGCTGTTGAGTTTTTTTTTTCAGCGTTTCTGATACGACAGAGGAAGTTTTGTGATCAAGAACATCTCACTTTGACACCAGTCTTCCAAGATATATACTTTTTTTTTCCCATTTCGTGGGACAAGCTAATCCAAATCCTCTACACTTTGGTTTCACTGGTAGAATGCAATCCAACTGTGCAGCTCTCCACAGCAGCGAAGTGACAACCCAGTCAGAACCACCCATATACCGTCAACATGACTGCACAGCACGGTTTGTCATCTGTGCCTGACTGTACATCCATCATTAGATTATAAACAGACAATAAACAAAATGCTGTTTTTTTTAACGACATTTAAAGTGGCGGGCTCGATTTGGCGATGCCTATAGTTGCTGGTTGTAACGGCGAACACAGTTTAATTCTACAGGTCACAGAATTCTGGGAGCGGCGAAGCACGTTACTGTCGTTTAAATAATAAATCTGGCGATATCTTTGCCCTTTTTCATCATTCTGTGAGCAACCGTAATCTGATTTTAAACTGCATGCGGCATGAATCTGCAAACAGTGAGACACAGTGAAAGTATAAATTGGTTACCTTGCTGAGACGTTGCGCTGCCTGTCGCCGGCAGTTCTTCATCTAGCAGCTCACTGGGGCTGTTGTCTCGTTTTGTGGGCACATTTTTTGATAAATGATGGTGGTAAGTGCTAAGCTCACTGACAAACACACTGCATTCCCTGTGACTACTTCACAATAACGGGACACTTGTGTTTCACCATAACTTGGCTGTAACTTGATACAGCATTTCCCCCAAAAAATGTTTGCCACAGACACCAACTTTGGAATATTGTTTAACATTGCAGTGCTTTTATCAGCGATCCCTTTGCTCAGCAATAATGGAGGTTACCTCATTTGACAATGTATTGTAACTTTAGTGACATTTATCTCAATGAAAACCTTTATGACTGTCACTGTAGGAGTCCGTCCATCCATCTTCTANTCCCTTTCTCTGCGGTATAAGTCCTGCCAGTCCATGGAGGACTTCTGAGCTTTTTCCAGCTCAATGGTCAAATATTTAATTTGACCCCACAGGGTTCTACTTTCTCGTTCCTCAGTTCCGAGGAAGCGAGACAGCTGCTGGATCTTAGACTCTAGATCCTGACTGGCGGTGGTCTCAGTCAGCTCTTTGATCTTGGCCTCTTGGTTGCTGGTGTTTTCAGACAGCTGCTTGATCGTGGCCTCTAGGTGGGTGGCGTTTTCGGACAGCTGCTTGATTTTGGCCTCTTGGTTCTCAGTGAGTTCAGAGAGCTGTTGAATTTTGCTCTTCTGAACAACACTGTCTTCACAGAGCTCTTTGTTGATCGTCTCCAGAGAGACGATCTTTTCTTGAGCTCTGTGGAGCTCTGCCTTCAGTTCCTCCACCTGTTTCATTAGAGCTTTGTTTTTTGCTCTGCCGAACCAGGTAGAGGGCTTCAGTGCAGCAAATTTCTGTGTAGAAGTCTGGGTGTTCATTGTGGACTTCTTTCTTGACGGTTCTCTTGCTACTGTAAGTCTGCTGTTGCGGGCTTGTAAAAAAGCTGCTCCTCGCTCCAAGCTTGTGTAAGTGCACAGAGATGTCTCCACAGGAATGAGTAATGCTGAAACAGTGGGACAGTTAAGCATTTTTCAGAGTGCTGATGATGTCATCAAAGGGCCAAGGAACACCACTGCTTACATCATGATGACATCATCAGAATGTCCAGAGAGAGAGAGAGAGAGAGAGAGAGAGAGAGAGAGAGAGAGTGAGCGGGCGAGCGAAAGAGGGAGGGAGAGAGAGAGAGAGAGAGAGAGAGACATTCCGAAACAGTGGGAAGTTCTAAATTCTCCAGAAATCTCGTCCTATGTCTGCCCACTGAGCTTGACACACCTCAGGAATAATCACATTAACAAGGTGCTTCATCCTAATCTGTAACCAGCTGCTGTAAAAAAAGTCACACTTCACATTCTTGAGAACTCTCATACATAGTGTGATCTACTGGTTAGGGTGCTCAGGTAGGGACACAAATGCCCCCAGCAGCAGAAGCAGTGTCCCTGCTTTAATTTCCAGCCAGCTGAATGTTTGCTTGCAAAATCCACCATATATAATAATTTAAGAAAAAGTCAGATATAAAGAACATTAAAGCAGGTATATCCTAGCAACAAACATGTAATTGTTGATATTTAGGAACCTGCTGAAAATGCGGGAGGTCCTCCCTCTTCCGCCTGAAGTCCAGCACCAACTCCTTTGTCTTTGAGGAGTTAAGTGCCGGGTTATTGAGGGAACACCAGATAGTGAGGTTCAGGACCTCCTCTCTGTAGGCCATGTCATCGTTGTTGTGAATGAGCCCAACCACAGTAGTGTCATCCACAAATTTGACAAAGATGTTGCTGCTGTGGGTTGGTGTACAGTCGTGGGNTTTCATTTTCATCATAGTGGATCACAGATAAATAAAGGAAGAGTCAAATATGTACCGAATGTGAAAATTTCAAACTGCCAGTAGGTTTGGGTGAACACATTTGCATCTGCTCACACACTAAATGAGTAGTTACCTGTTGGAAAACATCAGCTCCCTCATCATAGTCCACTACAGTGAAGAAGAGCTTGTTGGAAAATGCGGATGAGTAACGCCACGAGTTTGCCAGGACTTGGTACTCCTCATTCGCCTGCCTATAAAACATCAAAAATACAGAAGAAAGGGAAAGAAGGGAGAAAAAAAAAAGAAAAAAGTCAGATTGTAATATTTCACACACACTCCATGTATGCCAAAGAGGGACTCTATTACAATCACTTTGTCCCAGATGTGATTGCATTCAAGGATTTAAGCTCTTCTGTGGCAAGTAACATAATACAAAACCCATAATTGGCACAGTTGCGTAAAAGATGAATGATTTTCTGGCAGCACAATCGCCCTAAACACATTATAGCGCTTTGGCAGGTTTCTTTTCAGTTCTAGGAAGACTCATAACTTAACAGGTTCCTCTTACCTCATCATATTCAAAATCTTTGCATTTCAAAAAGAGGAGCTCATGAAATGTGGATTTTCAAGCTCTGAAGCGCTGATGCTGTAGTACAAACTGTGGCTGGGAATAATGATGAGCATGCCAAGGCAGAAAATTAAGGTTTGAAGCCAACAATAATTCTTGTTTGTAAAACTAGAAGTGTGTGGTGCAAGAATTGCTGTGAGAAAGATTGTGGCAGCCAAAACAGAAGAAAAAAAAAAAACTATTATGAATAATGTTCCTGCACTTCTGAGTATATTCTTACAAATGTTTAGTTTAACTTTGTCTCTTTTTTCTTTTTCTCTTACATCTATTCGCCTGCTCTTTGTCCTAACAGAAGGTGTTATTTTGATTCTGACAAGACATGGGCACAGACAGTTCGCAAAGGATGAAATGAATGCATTTATTCAGGTATATGAAAAAGGAAGAGGTAAAACCAAAGCTAGTGATCTCAAAACCGATAATGAGGTAGATAGCGATCGGGTAAAATGAGAAGAAGTGAGGTTTGAGACGAGAAACTGGACAAGATTCAGAAAAGATAATGGAGAGGTGAAAGACAGATGATAAAGGTAGTAAGAAAAAGAAAAGACTGTTCACTAGATCCTTCCCTCTTCATTCCATATTGTGGTTTTATAGCATGTACATCTTTCCTCTTCATCTTTTCAGAACCTAATTTGTCATTTTATTTCTACTACCTTCAATGACAGCCCAATGAAGATGTCATTTCAACAAGTCTATTTACACAGTGAAATCCCAAGAATCATTTTCTCTTTCCTATCATCTCCCTTGCATGTTTCTGACTTTAGCTACATGTTTGCCTTCACTTTGGCATCGTGCCTTATGTCAACTGTCTCCTGTGTTGGCTTTAATTAGTGGGAAATCGTCTGTCAAGATGCGTTATGTGTGGTGATGTTACGTTGTTATCTCTGCAGCTAATGTTAGGACGGTGCCTTTGAAGTGTCCGCCAGTTTAAAAAAAAAGTCAGCGTAGACGAAGTTGAAACTCAGGCCAGCGCACTGTCAGGGATTACAGGGGCGCTCATCTCAACGCAGAAGTTGTCAAGGCGTCGCTGAGATCCTGCTTTCACTGTGCTAATAATCCATGTTACTCATTTATTGTTTATTTAGCTACTTCACAACTGTCATGATGAGAAAAGATTATTATTAAGAATGATCCTGGTGAAGGAGGTGATTGTAATATCAACAAATGCTATCATATTACAAGAGGTATTAAACATTAAACTTTAAAACAATGAGTTAAACCTGTGAGCAGTAAAGCAAATAATCAAATCAAATTAAGTTTATTGCCATTTTGCTGTAGATACACAGCAGTACAGGCAAGATGATAGAGCATTTCTTCAGGATCACTGAATTAGGAAGTTTTGCAGAATGAATGTCTGGGATAAGACACTAAACATTCACTGTCTTTGTCTCCTGAAGGGGGCGCTGTGTCCATGTGTGCCGCGATCACGTTGAACATGGCGAACCTCTTCAGGTCCTGGTAGGTCTTCAGGGACACACGATGGTGTGACGATGGTGAAGCCACAGATGCTGCCCAGAGCTAGCTGCCTGTCTGTCCGCCCAGAACGATGCTGTCCCCTCCAGCTGCTCCGTCTGGGATGTTGTCATGGAGCCATGTTTCTGTTAAAGCAAACACACAGCAGTCCCTCCACTCTCTGCGGGTTTCTCTCAGCAAACGTAGCTCGTCCAGCTTGTTGTTCAGGGAGCAGACATTGGGGAGTAGGAGGACGGTCCTGCTGGTCTGGAGGGGTTAGCCTTTAGCTTAGCATGGATCCTGCTGGTCTGGAGGGGTTAGCCTTTAGCCTAGCATGGATTCGGCTCTCTTCCTCCTCTTTTGTTTACGTTCGCACTGTTTGCACTTCTTTCGTCAGCGTCGTCTCCGATCGGACTCCTCGTTGGTTTAGCATGTCCAAATCACAACCGATTCCAATTCCCGCACTGTTCACTGTCCTGACGCCCAGCATAGTCTCCCGGCCGCAAGTTTTGCAGAATGAACGTCTGGGATAGACAAGACACTCAAAACATTCACTTTCGTTGTCTCCTGAAGGGGCCGCTTCAAAAAATGTTGTCTGAATTCTAATATTTAAAAAAGATCATTCAAATGCCTCAAACAGTAACTGTAGACATTTAGTTATTAATTTCCAACCTTCCGTAACACATGGACAATCATGCTACATACAAATAAACTTTACACATTTTAAGAGACACTTACAACATTTATACAACCTACATTAAATACTAATTTTTCCCCCTTAAATCCGAAATCCAGTCTGCTTCAACTAAATAATCCCTTAAAGTTAAAAATCCTAATTAATAAGGGAAATGTTTGAAAGATGAAAAAAAAAAAAAAAAAAACTATCAACAGTCTCCATATCTGTCTCACCAGGGCAACATGAATTAACCAGTACCACAAGCAAGAGCTATGAATTATTTAACAATTACAAAAAAAAACTTTTAAATTATTCATCTATCTTAAGTCTGCAAGTGAAAGCGCGACAAACTGCTGTGAACTCCAACACTAATGCTCATGTTAATGCGCTCTAAGGTGAGTCTTAAGCTGAGCGAAGGTAAGAAGAAATTTAGGCAACCAATCAGGTTTCATTTGAAAAAACATCAAATGGAAGCGATAACTGGCAACAGAAATGACCTTCCCTTTCATCGACACAGATAAACAAGGTGTAAGTCATAAGCCTCAACTAAGAATAATGTTTTTGTAATAAAGTAATTCTGGTGGATATTAACAATAACCGCATCATGATCAAACAAGAGTTTGATTTAAGTGCCTTTCATCGTTGAACTTTTGCAGACAAAATTCAGCAACGAAATTACGTAAAGTATTTTAAATGGGTAAAATGAAATTAATGCAACAGCAAGATCAGCCAACAGAATAATTACCCAGAGGTAAAAATGATTGGCGGTCAAAAGCATTAAATCCCAGCAAGACTTGTCCACTTTGGGTACCCAGAGTGTGTGCTAGTGTCTCCTCCTTATGGAAGTCAATGAATTAGCAGAATCTCTGGCATTATCAATGAAAAAAACCCAATCTGAATGAATAAAACTATAAACATCAGCTAAACTGTCAGACTTCAGACACATCAAGCCCAACCCTTCTAAAGAGAGACAACTGGGATAAGCAAAGGGAGAAGGAAGGAATGCTCTGTTTTTTGCCTGAATTCAGTTTTGTTTGCCCTCAGTTTTTATTGATTTTTTAACATACTTTTTGTTGTAGATTTGTAATGGATACAATTTCAGCTTTTCCCCAAGAAACTACACTACATTAACACAAATGACCCCATACGAGCCACACTGTAAAATGTGAAAAGTTACTTAAATGAATCTAGGAAACTGGTTGCACTCAAAAAAGGTAAGTGAATATCAGAATAAGAATCACAATCAGCTTTAATTGTGTTGTGTTGTGGCTTTTGTTTTGTTGTGACACTTCTGGGCCACCGTACAGGACAGCTTTGATGACGGCGGTGTAGAACTGAATCAGCAGCTCCTGTGGCAGACCGTGTCTCTTCAGCTGTCGCGGGAAGTACATCCTCTGCTGAGCCTTTCTGAGGATGCAGCAGATGTTCTTCTCCCACTTCAGGTCCTGGGTGACTGTCGTCCCCAGGAGCTTGAAGGACTCTACAGCTGACACAGGGCTGTTGCTGATGGTAAGGGGGAGCAGTGGCGAGGGCTGTCTCCTGAAGTCCATTCTCATCTCCACAGTCTCGAGCTTGTTCAGCTCCAGGTTATTGTGGCTGCACCAAAACACCAGCCGCTCAACCTCCTGCTGATATGCAGACCCGTCACCGTCCTGGATCAGGCTGATGACTGTAATGTGGTCTGCAAACTTCAAGAGTTTGACAGATGGATGCTTGGAGGTGCAGTCGTTGGTGGACAGGGAGAAGAGAAGTGGAGACAGGACACACCCCTGGGGGGCGCCGGTGCCGACAGTCCGGGTTGAAGAGGTGATGTCTCCCATCCTCACCTGCTGACTCCTGTCTGTCAGGAAGCTGGTGATCCACTGACAGATGGATGGAGACACATTGAGGAGGGAGAGTTTGGTGGAGAGAATTCCAGGGATTATGGTGTTGAAAGCCAAGCTGAAGTCCATAAACAGGATCCTTGCGGAACTCCCAGGGCCATCTAGATGTTGCAGGATGTAGTGCAGCCGCAGATTGACTGCATCATCCGCTGACCTGTTTGCCCGATAGGCAAACTGCAGGGGGTCCAGTAGAGGACCTGCTATGAACCTCAGGTGGCTCAACTCCAGTCTCTCCAACGACTTCATGACCACAGATGTCAGAGCCACTGGTCTGTAGTCATATGAGATTGT